AAATAAATAAATAAATAAATAAATAAATAAATAAATAAATAAATAAATAAATAAATAAAAAAAATTATTATTCCTATTCCACGCAGCTCCCCCATTTTCTTCTATTATGGCCATTTTCCATTCATTCTGTTGCTAGATTAATTTATCTTCTGATACTTTTACATACAGGATTCATGCCTTCTTTTTCTGCAGTCATTCTACTTTCATGCTAGTTTCTTTCACTTACTTCATTTTCTTCCATGTCTATTTTTTCCCAAAGATTCATTATTGACACTACTAAATATGTCCCACATTCAGAACATCTCATCATTCTTGTATCCAAATCTGTGCCAAATTGTCGTTCCTTTTTGAACCAACTTGGGCCACATGATGCTACGTGGTAAAATTCCAAATAGCCCAGAGCATTCAGTGTCTCTGTATCAAGAGCTTTAAGTATGGCAGGTAGTTGGGTTACCAGATCTGGACTGCAAATGTCCAGTCATAAAAATCACTTGCTGCCCTCTAGTGATGGCCTATTCTTTTGCAGCCTATATCTGGTAGGCCTAATGTGCCAAACTGGAATGATCTACAGTACTCAGAAAACTTATCTATTCAGCCATTCCTGATTGGCTTCAGTAGACCCCTCCCTTCCACATGTGCTCAAAACACAGAATAAAAAGCCCATTTTCACTGACGCTATAAAAGTATTTATTCTTGCCTCCAATCTAGCATCTTGAATTCCAGAAATGCCCAACAAAGTGAGATTAAATGAGTTTAGGTTTCTTACATGGTGAGTAATCCATATTGAATGATTTAATTTTTTATTTGATTTATGACACTGGGAGTCCTAAAAGGAGTTTTATGTCATATTTTGTACTTCTTGTTCCTTTTTTACCCAGAGACAATTATGTGTTTTCAGCATTCATCGTCCAGTTTCTGAACAAAAAATGGTGCTCTTACCACATTCATACAGTCTTAGAAGCTCCAATAGAAGAGAATATCTAGCTCAGGGTTGAACTATGGAGTTCTTGGTGCTCTCTGAGCTTGGTCGTTTGCTTGCAGATGTTTCATTCCCTGACTATCTTCAGTGCGAGTGTGGGGTTTACTCCCTGTTTATATACAGCAGCTTTCCCTGCCAGTGTTGGTGGGGGTGTGGTTTCTCTCCTTGGTAGATGCTCAAAATCCAGGTTTGAGTTCCAGAAGAATCAAGGTGGAATACCCACACAGAACATTCATTCTACAGGATAGTATCAAAGGGCTACAGTTCGCATACACATGAAACTTCCAAAAAGGCTTTGCCAGTCCCATCTTGGCTTTTTCTCATATCTCTGGGTACTTTTCTGCCTGAGTGCCTTTGTTTCATCCAGTTATGTGGGAATTACCTGTTTCTGGAGAACCATCTTTTGTTGTGGGAACCATACTTTGGATTTTCTTCAAAGTCATCATTTTTCACAAGCTGCATCAGCTGAAATCCCCCAAAGTAAACCCTTCTGCTTCTATGGCTGCTTTGAGTGGGTCTCATGCACTACATTTCTCATATATGTTAATTCACAAACACATGGTGTAAAGCTACATATAATTTTGTATGTTTCTTGTATTTATATACTGCCAGATTCAACAAAAATAACTCCTGGCAGTTTATAACCCAAAAACATAAAAAGGGAATAAAGCCAGTAAAAATATAAGCAACAATACAAACTGTGATGTATTGGTGACCATACATTTCCCAAAGGCCCTCCAGAACAGTTCTGTCTTAACTGTTTCAGGAAATCCAACAAAGTGGGCAACAACCTTATCTCAAGAGGGAGGGTGCTGTACCACCGAGAGCAGTAACAGAAAAATGTTGCCTGCAAGCCCTAGTCCCCTTCATCTCCCCTACATGGAAGACCATTAAAAGGTGTTGGCTGGAGGTCCACACTGAGTGAGTTGGGTATTATCCATATACTATAGCAATATATAATGCTGGTGGTAATATATTGGCATTAATTCATAGTTAATATATTCTAACATACTTTTGCTTTTTGCTTTTTGTTTTGCCAAGATACTTACAAGAGATTTACTTGCATACTTAGGTCATATGTTAAGTGTATAATAGAGGTGTAGTTTCAAAGGCAGTTGTCATATGTATGAATTGGGAGTAATACATCTTGTGTGTGTTTCTTCAGGTTAGTCTTGACTCCTGGCAACTGCCTGGACAAGTCCCAGCAATTTTCTTGGCAACATTTTTGAAAGGGGTTTACCACGGTCTTCTTCCTAGGATTAAAAGAAAGTGACTGCCCCAAAATCACCCAGCTGGCTTGATGCCTAAGGCAGGAGTAGAACTCGTGGTCTCCTGGTTTCTAGCCTGATACCTTTAATTACTGTATCAAAGTGGGTCTCAAGTAAATTTTACTATTGTCTAGGTTAAAAAATTCCCTTAACAAATATATGTAGAATATATGTATGTAGACCATTAACTATGTTTACTTCCATGTCTGAAAGCCAATATAAGAACAGGCAGAAACATTTATTTACACATTTAATTAAACCAGATTCATTTCTATCGTTGCTTGAGTTTTAGAAGATCCTATTAATAAACTTCAAAAAATAACTGGAGAAGGAAAAAATGATTCTTATTAGAACAAGTAATATCTTAAAATGAAGACCCTGTAATAGAGAGGATGAAATGCCCTGCCTAACAAAAAAAAAACAAAAACCCAACAACATTAAATCAGCAGAATGTTTAAAATGTATTTAAACATTTGTTTAAACATCATTTATCAAATTAAGCCCCAATGCAATCAACCAGTCTGGGAGGTTTTGAGTTCATCAGGTGTCCTTGTTGGAGGAGCTGCACCTGAACCTAAACAGAGTGCTGAATTAAAAAAAATACTGAGTAATTAAGAAGCAGAATGTCCCATTAAAAAAACACCCATAATATAGTTGTCTTGAATGCAGAGTAGAGGCTTAGTACTCTTAGCTGTCAATGTACGCTAGCAGACATTCATTTTTATTGATTGATTGATTGATTGATTAATTGTCAAATTTATATGGCCACCCATCTCACAAACAAGTGAATCTGGGCAGCGTACAACAAAGTTAAAAACTATTAAAATATACAGAACTATTATTACTACTTAAAAAAAACTTTAAAAACTATAAAAACAAAGGCTAAAAAGAAAACAAATATTAGGTGAAGAGAGGATGTTAATAATAATGGAGCCAGCTCAGTATCTCAACAATCCCCTGGGGTCCCCAGGCCTGATGGCACAACCAGATTTTGAGGGACCTTTGGAAAGACAAAAGTGAGGGAGCCAGCCTCACTTTGGAGGGAAGAATGGTCCATAAAGCAGGCACTACGGCAGAAAAGGCACACCATTTAGGACCTGCCAAATGTAGCTCCCTAACATCCCCTTTCTGTTGGATCTGGTGGGATGGGCAGATGACTAGGCCCCATGCCATGTAGGGCTTAAAGGTCAAAACCAACACCTTGAATTGGAACCAGAAGCAGACTAGTAACCAAAGCAGCTCGCAGAGCAGATGTAACAGTGCTGTTCCAGAAACAGATAACTGCCTGTACCACTGCATTATATTTGAAGTAACAGCTTGATTTATTTAAAATAAAATGTGAGAGACTGTGGGAACTGGCAGAGGAGGACTTCAGTGGTTGCAGGGAGAGAGAGTAGAGCCCAGCAGTGGGGATTATGGGAAGGAAATGTTTCAAAGACATGCTACCTTAACTGACCTGAAGTCTGTCTTAGGTTTTTCCCCTGTATTAGAGGTGGATATAGTTCCATAATACTGGATGATCAGCTATGTACATATTCAATCACCAGACTATTCCATCCTCTCTTCTGTGATTTGGATATACATACATAGTCACATTTAAATGATTGTATTCTTCTAAAAAAACCTCCTCCTCCTCCTCCTCCCCCTCCTCCTCCTCCTCCTCCTC